GTGCGTGAAAAAGATGGTAGAAGTTAGAGAATTCAATGTAATACAAATTATACAACTATATGAACAGCTATATGGAATAAAAGGAATGATCGATTTGTGTGCTTATTGATTGCATACTCTTTTTCAATTGATGCATTATTGCAATCATTAATCTGGCAAATAATTTAATGTGTGATTGGCTTATATAGTTACAATGTCCGTTGCTGCTGTAATACATCAATCAACATAAGATATACTGTATTTTTTTTGTATATACTGTATACTAGGTGATTTTCCCGTGCTCATGCACGGACTTAAATATTTAAAAAATAAATATATTATAATAGTTGATTGGTATTTACTTTTAATTTTATATTAATTTATAGTTTGTATGTATAATTTTTTTTAGTAATATTATATCTTTTAGTTATTATAATTAGTCAGTTTTATCATTGGATATATATATATTTATTGGATTCTTTCTATTTCTATGAATTCAACTATAATCTTTTTTATTCTAAATATCTTAAATTTTTGATTAATTATTTTATTTACATTTATGTTGGTTGTTATCTACGAAATATAAGTATATCTTAGTAAGATTATGTATTTTAAGATTTTTTGTGTTTAGAACGAAAAAAATAAAAACTTAAGTGTCTGATTCTAAATTACATAAGTAATAATAAATTTTTGAAAGCTTATGAACACGTAGCAATATTTACAATAATTAAAATATTTTATAAATTCTAAATAATTTATACCATAGATTGATTGGATGATAAACTGAATTTTTTTAAAATAATTTTAAAAATAAGGAATTTTGATTTGCTTTAAGTATTAGATTATGGTTATATTAAATTCCACAAACATAAAAACAGAAAATTAAACATCAAAATATTTATTAAGAAAACAAATAAATTTTAACTATTAATTATAATATATCTACCTTGTTAAATTATAGTGTTATCTTATATATTAAAACAGAAGTCATGACTTGACTTTATGTGTGATTTTTTTTAAAAATGGACTATTATTAGAAAGTTATGTTACATTAACTCTCTAATAATCTTATCATTATTATATCTTATAAAAAATCATATCTATAATAACAAAGATACGCTTAACATTTTGGTTTAATTTTGGTAAATTACCCCACACCTTCAAACTTAGTCACGCAAAATATGTCAATAGATATAAGTTTAGGAATCTTCTATTATTTATAAGGAAATATGTCAATAATAGTTAAATGCATCCACAATATATTAACAAAAATCACAGATTAATAATATGGAATAGTTATATACTCTAACAAAATTTACATGTTATATTTAGATAAATTTATTTCGATGTAAATTTATAAAATTATATTGTTTTAAAAAAAAGAAATTGTTTAAAAAATTGTTTTTTATTCTTTATAATATTAATTTATGAAGCTATAAGTTTAGTTTTTAGTAAAAATTTCTTCGAAGTTTATTTTATCTTTGCAAATTAAAGTATACTAATATTTAATCAAGCTCTATTTATATTAGTTTATCTAAAAATGAAATTCTAATTTAACAAACAATACAATATAGAAGAAGAAACAAACACATGTTTGAAATTCATGTATAATATATAAAATTTGAAACAATCTATTTGATTAAAACACTTATTATATAATATTATTATGTCTGAATAACATTTACTATACATATCGTATATATGTGATTACTATAATATATACCAATTTACAAGTGAAAACAAAATATTTATATAACTAATTATAAACGAAAACAAACACTCGCGCGGTTGCGCGGGTCAAAATCTAGTGATATATTAAAAGAAATGTAGTTATTTGATCAAAAGATGTTTATTACTAAATTTATTTTTAGTTTTGTTTTTAACATCTATTAAAATATGCAGTAAAACTGTGATTTTTTTTTGACAAATTATATTATATAAGTAAAATATAATTTATATTTTTTTGCTGTAATTGTAAGATATTATAATCAAATAAATATACTAAAAAAAACATTTCAATAATACTAATTATAATTTTTTTCTCAATTAAACATATATCAGTTTATCTTACTTAATTATTTTATGTAATCATCTAATAAAATAGATAGATATATCAAAAATAATTAATTTGAAAACATATATTTTATTGTTTAAATTATTTTTTAAAGAAAAATATTTCTTTTCTAATATCAAGATTATTTGTATGAACTTTTTTAATGAAAACACATTATATACAAATATTTTTTCATCTAAGAAGATATAGATATAAAGTATTTTATAACTTAAAAGTATAATTTATGTTATTTAAAAATATATTTAAGTTAAAAATTACTATTTTGTAAATTTTCTTTTTTTATGAAACCATATTATATGTATACTTATTTTTCGTTTTAAATAGTTTTGTAAATTTTATAAATATTTCCTTTTATTTTATATTGTTATTTGGAAGATTTTAAAACGGAAATAATAATATTTAAATATATTTTTAATTCATTAGGGGTATCATAGTAATCAACCAGCGTGAGAGTTAACGTGAGCGCGACACCTAAGAAAGTGATTTCTCAAATAATATTATAGAGATTTACTCACATGGTTCTAATGTCAGCGACTCAGCGCCAACGTTAATTGTTTATACAATGCCAAATGTGTGTTATTTTGTCTTCATCAAAACAACTTTTTTTTTATAAACAAATTCATAAACGAAGAATCAAGCATTCATGCATATGGTATTTAATTGTGGCATAATACATTTATACAGCTATCTCGCTCCAAATATCACATGAGTACTAAATATTATTGTAACACTCATACTCTTTGGTATACCGACTATTTATTTACAAGTACCATTTAATTAGTACTCTTTACTTTAAACAAAGCTATATCTTGCCCTTGTTTACAGCAAGATCTTTATTTTTTACAGCTTAAGACGGTGAAGATATTAGGAGGAAGTGGGGACTGGCCACGAGGGCAGGTGAGCTGTGTGGGGCTTTTGTCGTCATGTAATAAAAGTCCGATTCTCTTTAGTCTTTAGCAAATTAATATCACTAACTCTCTTTTTCATTTGTTCACTCGAAATTCACAGACTTTGTAGTAGGCGAGAGTCAAAGTCAAACCTAAACCAAGTGTTTAACAATGCAATATTCTGTACACTAATTTGAGAATTTAAATAGTTAAATACTAAGATGACAGTTAACATGTTGAAACATAAAATTTTGTATGGTTTCAAGAATGAAAATCTTAGGAGTGAGTAGGCCCATACATGTATATTTACAGGAATCGTTCAAACAAAGCCCAAACAAATTTTAACTATAAAACTCGTTTACGACCACAAACATGTTGCAAATATAGAGCACCCCCACTAGCATATTTGTATCCGACCATAACATATTTAGCTGTAAATAAAGACCCCACCAGTCTTCTTTGATGTAATAACAAATAACATTTGCACAACTCGCCACTGTTTTACTCTGCAGATTCACTCATATTCCATTCATAATATATATAAATTACATTATTGAATTCAACAAGTATGAGAGACCATATCTGAAGAAGAAGAAGAAGAGTCTTATCTTCCTCTCCTCTTTTCTCTGCAGCTTCTTCTTTATTCACTTCCTTCTTCCGTTCTTTGACCTTCTCTAACTTCTCTTGAGTTTCAACCTTTGCCTGGGGCTTTGTTATGGGTTTCTTCAAGGTGGAAGATGATGAGTCTTATGGTTTTGTCACACGAGGACCGGTCTCATCTCCTGTTACATCACTACTACTCTTTCTGCGACTTAACTTTGGAGATTTAGGACGAGTAGGTATCTACAACAATTCCACAGACCACACATCAGATACAAGAACTAAAATTTAGGATGGTAAAAAAAAAGGAAGTGCAAAGAAGCAAACCTACACAGTTCAACCTTAGGTGGTGGCTCTTTGTAGAAACTGGCCATAGGACAAGCCTTAAACGTCAAACTCTTCCTC